ACTTCCGTCAGTTTTGAAAAGTGTCACATTACATGTCAAAATTAGAAAAATTTCTTTATTGTCTGAATAATGATAATTCCTATTGACAAAGTGAAAGACAGAACAATTAGAACAACATCAATAACTATTTGAATATATGCATATTTTTCATACATACCTCGTTACATATTCAAAAATATATTAAAATTCACCATGTCTCGCATTTATAACAGAAAATTTGTAGAGCATATGTCGAAATTATTCATATAAGTGAAAATATATGAATATATACAAAAAACAAATACATGAAATGAATTTCGAACAATAGTAATGTTAGTTACTACACGTCAGTTTATTGAAAATTTGTTTGTGCTATAAAGGTTTAAATATAAATGAAGGGTATTCAGAAATCAGAATTCTGGTCTTCACAATTAATTGAAATGTGATAAAAAATAAAATAGAATACAACAGAAATAGCTCAACCCAGTGAATACCGTTACGTAACGAAAAAATCTAAAATTTCACGGAATAAAATTCGTCCAACGAGTAGAATGCACTGGCAAGTAAAACATTCCTCACAGAAACATTGAATTTGTTATATCCATATTCGGTTTAATTTCGTTCGGTAAGTGATTGAACTTCTTTATGCCATTATATATAATGAAATTTTTTATTTGTGCAGATCTTGGAATTGGTAGAGTTATATTAAGGGTTTGTCTTGTGATATTATATTGTGCAGTGCTATAAACTCGATTCCTAAACTGACTCCGAATTAGGCATACAGTTTCTAATATATATATATATATATACAAGGTATGGTCAAGATTCGTTGTTCTGTGAATGAAGGCTTACAAGAATCACTGAATTTAGCTCTGCGCTAGTATCTATTTGCCCTTTTCTGCAATATGAAAATAGTATCGAATAAAAATCCACTACAAGATCCCCACAAGCACATCCAGAGGATATTTTTCTACCCAGCTTTTTTATATGGTCCTCAAACTTCAACTTTCTGTCAATTTAAAAGCCAAGAAACTTCGTTGTGCTTGTACTGCTAATTACCTATAGATGCAGACGGATGACCTTCAAAAGTGAGGATATTCGTTTTCGTTATGTTTACCTTACGATAATGTATTAGCATCACACCACTGTTTTACCTTGATAACATCATTTTTAATTTTTTGATGCAGATCAACGTCATTCCTATTATTCAAAAGTAAGGTAGTATCATCTGCGAACTGAGTAAACTTTCTCGTAATCTTTATTGAGGCTAGATCATGTAAATTGAAAAGAGAATTGGGCCAAGCACTGATCCTTGAGGTACTCCCCATTTGATCAATAATTGTTATGCTACGAAAACTGAAAGAGGATAAGATGAATGTTGGAGTTATGTTCCAAAGACATCTCTATGATGTGATTCTAGTTGAACACTAGACTGACTGAGCAAGATTCACCAACACGATGCATGTTAATCAAAGTAGGCGTAGATGAAATGATTGATGAATATCTCATAAGTATATACAGTGATGGTGATTATTATAGAGGAAGCAGGTGTTGGATAGAACAATAGACCATAGATAACAAGGCCCATTCACTTCATGACTCCATGAGGCCACTATTTATTTGTATTACCCAAACAGAGATAATTACCTGTAGGTATATCGTTCGAGTGCATTTCCAAACAACTGAAAAGCACCACAGGATATTTTCCACTGCTCTATAACACACCGTGTGTTGGTGACATATAACGCATGTCGTATATTTCCTGGAGAGTCGAATGTAAATAGCGAGATTGGAATATTGTGTGAAATACAAGCAGAACGAATATGTGGGTTTTCCAGACATTCACAGAATGCTTTACCTCGATAACAAAACTCGTATATTCTGATGGATTCACGAGGGTGCAATACCTCTAGGATTCCATAACTATTACAGAAGTGAACAAGAAACTAATTTAGCATTGTTCAGAATATGGTTCGACATTGTTTCAAAGGAAATTTCGCTTTTCCTTAAAGTTTCTAGATGAATGTAAAAACTTCACGAACGATGAGATTTCCACAAAATTCTTAATCACACGATGTGTTACGTTTACACAGTAGCTTCAACAGGTGAAATAATGATACAATGAAAAAAAAAAAGTTTTCAGACATAGAGTTTTTTCTACTCATTACATGATTTTGAACTAGGGTTTCGTTGTGTCAAATTCTGAATCATTTACACAACCAACAAATTATTGGAGATTACCTACATTAGGAATAGTTTCAAGGAATATTATATTTCTGACCTCCAATCATGTTCTAATTGAAACATGAAAATCATCTATATCTCAAAGTGGTCCAAAGAAATTTCAAAATAAAAATAACAAATAGGATTTTCTTTGAATTCTTTGGAATTCCTTACAATTCTTTGGGTTTAGTGCGGTATAATTCTGGTGACAAACAACTGGAATTCTTTGGAGATCCTCAGATTTCCTTGGATTTTCTTGGATTTCCTTGGATTTTCTTGGATTTTCTAGGATTTCCTTGGATTTCCTTGAATTTCCTTGGATTTCCTTGAATTTCCTTGGATTTCCTTGGATATCCTCGGATTTCCTTGGATTTCCTTGGATTTCCTTGGAATTCGTTGGATTTTCTTGGATTTCTTTGGTTGGAGTGCGGTATAATCCTAGTGTATAAACCACTGGGATTCCTTGAAATTTCTTAGATTTCCATCGAATTTTTTGGATGTCCTTGAAATTCCTTGAATTTCCTTAGAATTCTTTGGATTTCCTTGGAATTCCCTGGAATTCCTTGTGTGAAGTGCGGTATAATTCTGGTGTACAAACAACTGAAATTCCTTGGAATTTCTTGTGAAATCGAAGTTTGGTGTACACAATTTTAGCTGCAGTTTACCCCTTGGAGGAAACGGTGCACGTGGGAGGATAGGATTCCGATAGAAACATTATTAACAGATAAATTTCCACATTTCGTATATTTTCTACATTCGAAACTTAATGAGTTGATAATTTCTCCAAAAAGTAAAGACCTTCTTGGTGTATCATACATCTAGAAGAAAAATTGTGAAAAATTCTAAAACTGTTCTATCCCTAATTTGGTTGTTCCCTTCCGAACCCACAAAACATCTCGATAGAAGTCGAGATCGAAGTTCACCAGTAGATAGATGATATCCGCAAAGGTTTCACTTCACTGCTTTCACATTCGAAGAGCTCGAAAAGTTCAGAATGTCCTTGGATCTGAATCACAATAAATTCGGCACTCGGCAGTGGTCAACTGACGCCATCTTGCCATTTCCCATCATCATACGTTTTCGTTACGTAACACGCATGCGTTCTACGGTTGCTTTACATATGTTTCAGCGAACCAATCAAAACTTATTATGAAAGCGAGACTTGCATGAATACTTCAGTGTGAGTTTAAGAATGGTCAAAGTTTATAGGTATTATGTGATTGGAGTAATATAATTCATCATAACTATATAAGTATAGGTACAAATCAGTTGAAATCATCAATATTTCAAATTCATAATATTGATAATGAAATCAAATTCAGCTGACATATTATATATTTTTAGACATCATTTATATCCATATTCAATACAATAATTATGATTTCAAAATTAATCGATCGAGTCTGGCACCAGGGACTCCTCGCCTTCCATGTTATGGCTTGCCTCCACAGTTATGTTCTCTGCTAGTTAGTTTTCTCTCAAACAAGTCTTTCCATGTAATGGTCGAGTTTCATCTGACACTCTTATTATAAATGCTGGTATTCCGCAAGGATCAATTCTAGCACCAACACTATTTCTACTACATATCAACGATTTGTTGAAAGCAACTTCATGTCCAGTACACAGCTTCGTGAATGACAGTACCCTCCATACCGCCTTGTCTTTCAGGGCTCCAATACCAGCCAGGCAAATCAGAAACGATCGAGGGAGAAATGTTCACAACATAAATATGGACTTGGCAACAATTCTTCAATGGGGATCCGATAACTTGGTAGATTTCAATGCAATGCCTTTTCTCTAGAAAAGCCGATCTCACTGTGCCCAACATAAGCTTGTCAGGAGTAACCATACCTCTGAAGACATCCATTTCAATGCTTCGTATTACTATCAGCAATAAGTTTTCTTGGGAAAATCACGTGAGATCAATTATTGCTAACAGTGCATCTCAAAAACTTGGTTGTCTGTTTCGGGCCAGGAGCTATTTCACTTCCAGTCAGATGCTTATGATCTATAAGGCACAGATCCGACCTGTAGTGGAATACTGTTCCCATATTTGGAGTGCAGCATCCAAACATACCCTGAAACTGTTGGATTATGTCCAAAAGAAGGCAATTCGTCTTGTGGGTGATACCTCGCTCACAAATTCACTCACTTCTCTGGAACACCGTAGAAAAGTTGGCGATCTGGCTCTATTTTATAGTTTTTTTCATGGACGATGCTCTTCTGAAATATCAACAATTATTCCTGCCTTGGCAGTCCCCCCGAAATTAACCCATCGAGTTGAGGCTTCGGAACCCTTCGTGGTCACTTTGGAGACCAGTAGAACATGTCTTTCCGAGAACTCGTTCATTCAACGAACAGTGAGGCTCTAGAACACATTGCCAAGGGAGGTGTTTCCCGAGGCATAAAAACTCCAGAAATTCAAGAAGAACACCAATTTCCACCTTATTTTCCTTGATTCTCACGATGTTCTCTGAACATTACAGGATAACCCTTTTCGTGGGAATCAGAATATAAAAAAAATAAATACCTACCTACTTATATTGATTTATACTGATAAACCGTTAAAGTCTGTGAATTGGACGTTTCGAAGACGTCTTTTCCTGGACGTCCTAAGTATGTCTATAAATGTACGTCTGAGAAAAGTCCATACAAGGTCCTGGACGTTCAGACCAAAAATGGACTTAAAATAGACCAGGCGGCTACCTGGCCACTTAAACACGACCATTCAAAAGCTCCTACATAGTCTACCTAGTTTCAATCAAAAATATCCATAACGTTCATCTCTGGTCTTCCAGGAGTCCATTTCGATACGTCCAGCAGCAGCCTCGTCAACGAGATCACCACAGCCATCAAGGTGTACGCTTATGGCGTGGAGGACTTCATCAACGACCCTGCCAACGCTCAAAGGTCCCTCAACACGCAGCTGTCCTGCGAGGGGGCAGGGGCTGCCAGGTGGGACACTGGGGACAGGTTAGTGGTTCATTATTATATCTCCCGCCAGGGTGTTTTGTTTATGTCATCAGGGGTCGGCTTGATAAAGATAAAATCAACATTGAGTTGATATTAATTTTTTCGTTTTATTTTTGCCAATCCTAGAAATTATGATGAGCTTTGTTCTTTGGTGTAAGAATTCCAAGTCAAGTTCAGTGCCTTCTGGTTGTCTTCCTAATAACTGATGCTCTCATCATATTTTAGAATTCCTGCTTAAATCTAGTGTTGACAGTTAGAAATACAAATACAAATACAAAATATTTATTTCAATAGACTTTGCAGTATTGGATAATGTCGAAATAGGTTTTCTAATAAAAATATCTGAGACAGTGAGTCAACATATATAATAGGTAGAAAAATGAAGTTCCAAACATTTTGCACACAAACAAAGGTGCGAGGTGAGACTTTGCAATTGAAAAAAGCAATGATTGAATAAAAAGAATTTCTAATCAAAATAACTCTAAGGGTATTCCTAACTTTATGTTGATTTTGTATTTTCTTCAAGTCAATTGGTAGTTTAATATGTAACGAGACTATTTGCTACCTTGGCCAGTCTGTGCTTGGGCATACTGTTGACATGTGGCATACTGTTGAGCTAGCAACCTTTGGCTCTTCGGTCGAATAATATCCGTCTTTTACCCCATCAAAAAATCACCTATTCAGAAAAAAAATCGCCGATGTTCCAAATTTTTCGGGCGGGCTTTTAGCTCGCCATGCTCGATGTTGGGAAATTGGCGATTTCGACAAATATTTTCATGAGTAATGCGAAGTTTATTATCATGAACTTGGTAACCCTGGAAGTTAAATTGGTGGTCTAGATTAGTCTATAGGCCGGTGGAGCAGATAGCCCGAAACTGTTATGAAGGCGGTTGGGTGTGCCTGACCCAATGAGGACTAACAATTTCAATCTCGCCAGTTGACGTTACTGAAACGTGAGGTCAATGTCAAAGTCAAAAATCCCATAATTTTGCTGGATATCCCTGAAGGCTGTGACCTGTTTAATCGAAAATATTCGGAAAACATGATGTTTAATGTCTGAACAAATTGAGAACCTCATTTTATGCAAATACTTGAGCAGACGTACGTTTTTTTCTCTTAATGTGGAACTTCACGATTGATTCTTATATTGACGAAGAAGAAGATATCGTAGGGAGGGGCCAATGACCCGAAAAGAAGGAGTATAATTATTCATCAGTCACATCCATATGATCTCACGTAACAGTAGCGCGGTCTGTGGGACAATAAATAATGTCAGCCTTCAATGTGCCAACAGGAGGAAACTTGCAAACAACATTCGTATGAAGTTGTTCTTCCCTTTGATTTTTTTTTTCATGTTCTGGTTCCCACGAAAAGGGATATCCTGTAATGTTCAGAGAACATCGTGAGAACCAAGGAAAATTAGGTAGGAATTGGTGTTTTTCTTAAATTTCTGGAGGTTATATGCCTCGGGGAACACCTTCCTTAGAAATGTATTCCAGAGCCTCGTTGTTCGTTGGATGAATGAGTCTTTGGAAAGAGAAGTTCTGCAGGTCGTCAAAGTGACCACGAAGGTGTGCGAGGCCTCAATTCGACGGGTTGGTCCCGCGGGAAGTGCCAAGGGAGGTACAATTGTTGATATTTCATAAGAGCATCGTCCATGAAAATATCTATAAAATAAAGCCAGATCGCCAACTTTTCTACGGTGTTGTTTGGGTGCTGCACTCCAAATATGGGAACAGTATTCCAGGACAGGCCGGATCTGTGCCTTATAGATAATAAGCAGCTGACTGGAAGTGAAATAGCTCCTGACTCGAAACAGACAACCAAGTTTTTGGGGATGCACTTTTAGCAATTGATCTCACGTGATTTTCCCAAGAAAGGTTATTGCTGATAGTGATACCAAGCATCGAAATGGATGTCTTCAAAGGTATGGTTGCTCCTGACAAGCGTATGTTGGGCACAGTGAGCTCGGCTCTTCTAGAGAAAAGGCCTGCATGTGTTTTTTTTGCATTGAAATCTACCAAGTCATTGTATCAGCATTCAAGAATTGTTGTCAGGTCCATATTTATGTTGTCAACATTTCTCTCTCGTTCGTTTCTGATTCGCCTGACTGGGATTGGAGCCCTGGAAGAGAAGGCGGTATGTAGGGTACTATCATCCGCGAAGCTATGTACTGGACATGAAGTTGCCTCAACAAATCGTTGATATGGAGTAGAAATAGTGTTGGTGCTAGAATTGATCCTTACGGAACACCAGAATTTATGATGAGAATGTCAGATGACACTCCGTCGACCACTACATGGAGAGACCTGTTTGAGAGAAAACTGGCTAGCAGAGAACATAGCTGGGGAGGCAAGCCATAAGATAGAAGCTTGGGGAAGAGTCCGTGGTGCCATTCCATTCCATACCATTTTGATTGTGAACAAATATGCTCTTGTTATTTCTGGAAGAACATTCATATGATATGATATGTCCTGGTCCATCAAGGAATAAGTGAGTGAGATGATTCATTGAGGCATATGAGTCTGGGGAAGATGGTTTATGATAAGTGGTGATAAAACAGATGGTTTTAGGTATATTGCCCAAATTAAATGTTACCTGTTCAAGTATCACAAATTACCGTTTCACTGTGGAAATAAATCTTTCAGGGGCAATATTATTAGCACTTTGTACCGGTTGCTGTTTCAGCTATCAATCATAGTCTACTTTATTCCGTAGATTCTTCAAGTATTTGAGGAATGTCAGCGTAGAGGCAGATCAAGGCAGACCAAATCTGGAGTTCACGCAGGACGGGGTTCTCAAGGCTGCTGAGCTGAAGATCATGAATTTGAGACCAGGAGTGAGCAAACAACTGGTTTGGGAAGAGGTAAGTCGAAGATGTTAGTGTTTTGATCCAACACCAAATGGCCTGAATATATATGGGGTGTTCTGTTTGAAAAACTCGAGAAAAATCACTTCCAGAAGTTCCGAATTGAAAAAACATTTTTAGCCGCCCTGTATGATTGAGGGCATGAAAATTCTACAGAAATATCACGCATCTCTTCATCAAATGATATGATGATTATTATCTCTTAAACTTCATAATTGTGATTTCAGTGATTTTTTCTGTATGGATCTGCAGATGACATTATTTCGACAAGAAAAATAATAACTTTGAAATTATCGAGAAATTATCAGCAATATCATAGGAGTGGACGGAGGTCACAGAATGGCTTGAAAAATGGTGCTAATATGAAGGGCATTCCATTTAAAAAAAGTGATCCTCTAGATTTTTTTCGATGCCCCCTGTATATGCGGCAATAATTTTTAGTAACGGACCTTGTTGTCTCATTGACATTCGTTTTTTGAATCAAGTTTGTAGCTATCATAGAACTCGAGCAATCGAGCTCCGACGCACCTGCCCCACCCTGTATATGACTGCTCTCGTTTCCTAGTTGTTCCTATGGGAACAGAATTTGCAGTTGATCCCACAACGTATAAATTTACGTATACGTTCACATGCAGCAATAATCAATTTCAGATCGAGCTAAGTTCCTAAGGGACTTGAAATGCCATGATATTTCCAAAGTTGTTCAATATACACGGTGTGTAGTTGATGGTACACAGTGAACGCCAAATTTATTGGATGAAATAATGTGATTTGGTCACACTTAGATCAGTTATGAACTCAATTATGAGAAGAATGAAACATTTTGGGAATTTCTGTTAGACCTCATCGATCCTCACCATTGGGATCTCAGTAACTATGAGAGATAGAGAAACGGTTAAATTAGCAAAGTTGTAGCAAATTTAATGTTGAATCAGGATCTATCAGGAAATTCAGGCTATAGAAACGAAATTTCATGCTGATTTCAAATCTGTGAAAATCCAATATGGCGTCCATGAGAAGAATCGAAGTTGTAGGTGATATCTCAGAAATTTGACATTTTGATGAAAAACTGACAAAACCATCGAAAAGAACACCAAAAAGTGCTATCAGAACGTTGAGGTCATTTTTTCATAAAATCAATAGCTTCCGAGATATTCGAGAAAAACAAAAATACAAGGTTTCAGTTTTCCTCAAATATCACAAGAATGACTGAAGCTAGCCCGGATTTCTCAATAGATCCTGATTCAACATTGAATTTGCTACAACTTTGCCAATTTAACCGTTTCTCTATCTCTCATAGTTACTGAGATCCCAATGGTGAGGATCGAATTTGGGACACACTGAATGTATTCATTCTGATGACACCCTGTAAATTAGTCGTAGGGGAATTTTACTATTAACCAGTAGTAAGCACTTCTCAGGTAAAAGATCGTATACGTAATGGTGTTTGCTACAACTGGTAGTGGAAAATAAAATGTAAGATATTACTCTTTGGAATGGTTTGATACGTTGCCTCCATTAAACCAACTGTAATTATTATGTATTTTCTTTCGCCAAACGGACAGGAATGTATGTACATTCATAGCGGAAATGGAGTCCTGTGACCCACGAGGCATGAAATAACGTCTTTCCGACAGAGACCCTCGAAAAGTCCAGAAGTTTTGCGACAGGCTTATGGAGTGGAGAAAATAAGTTATTTATATATACTTCTCAGAACATTTCGTCCAATAATTCATGAGTCCAGGGAGTTCGACTAGTGGTCGCTCTTTCCGTGTAGTTTCGTAATTTGGAGGCTCCCTGCAGAAACCAACCGACACTAAAGGTTTGTTTACTGTGTCTGTAGTATTGTTGTGCCAAGTGTCTGAGATGTCTAATTGTTCGCGTATTTTAATTTCATGGTATAGTTATTCGTTTAACTAGGCAGCAAAGTAGTAGATTGACGGCCTAAGGCAGTCAATCTACTTTGCTGCCGAGTTGAGCATATAATTTTTTCTCCGATTGTTCATAATGATATAGGACGATATTGTATTTTTCTCCGATTGGCAGCAAATTTTGCTGACACATATCAATCAGCAAAGTATTACATTTCCTGCCTAGGCAGCAAAGTGGTTACTTTGCTGATTGATATGTATCAGCAAAATCAATAATCCATAAATCGTTTATAATTTTCGTCATATTTCATTCGAGACTTCTCCGGCCACAAATTCAACTCTATATTTTTTGCCACCTCCCTAATTTCTGGAGGTGTAAGTACTTCCAGTACTTCGCTATCACTGTCCATTATATAATAATTTGAATATACCGATATTTTTTCGCACAACTGTCAGAATTTTCATGAATTGTCAAACTATAATTATCATGGACAACTGCGATTTCTATCAAATTTCATTTCAATTGAACAATACAGGAAAAATAAAGAGATTGTGGGAATTGTAATGATTTGCAATTACAATATCCTCCTATATCATTATGAACAATCGGAGAAAAAATTATATGTTCAACTCGGCAGCAAAGTAGATTGATTGCCAAGTTGAATTCATAGTCGAGCGTAGCTACTTTGCTGCCTAGTTAAACAAATAACTATTGCAATTTATTACCATTCCCATAATTAATTTTGCTGACACAATCATATCAATCAGCAAAGTAACCACTTTGCTCCCTAGGCAGGAAAAGTAATACTTTGCTGATTGATATGTGTCAGCAAAATTGATATTTGCTGCGAATCGGAGAAAAAAACTTTTTGAACTCAAAAAAATGGACAGTGATGATGAAATCATTTAAATTTCTTGAATTCAGATAGTGAATCAATAACAATAAGTTCTTCTGACGAGGATCAATCAATGAAATATGTTTTTTATTATACAGGGTGAGTCATAACTATTGGGACATAGGCTGAGGGCAGATTGTTTGGACCAAAATATGGCGATAGGACTAAATATGCCTTCATAGAATATTGCTGTGGAAAAAAATTCAGGGCGTTGAAGTTGACTTCTTATTTGCGTTTTTTGCCAATAATTTTACTGTATATTCATCAATTGTTATCAAAATTGGCACAGAGGCACAATTTTATACAGGGAATATTATTTTATGTACTTCTCTACATCTTGATACAGGGGGCGCCACGTGGATGATTCCTGATGATGAAATCGCCTGGTTACTTCTTTTGACGAAATTTTTGAGTGATTTTGATTGAAAAATATGACCTTAACATCATTTCTACGTAATATTGGTACTCGTGTTTAAACACGATATTTTCATCCGTTTTCGAGAAAAACGCTATTCAACAGTTCAGAGTCTCAGAAGTAAATTACATATATTATTTAATTCATGAAGAGTGTGCTTTGAACTGTCAGATAATGTTGCTGGTAATGGCATCTCTTGTCAGTGAAAGAATTTTGGTGCGAGTTTATAGTCGAAATTTTTTCGATTGAAATGCCTCGTCGCAATCATTTTATGAATGAAGAAATGCGGGATGCAGCCAGAAGGTATAAATTGTAATATCTCTAATATCTAGGCAGGAAGCAACCAAATCACAAAACTTCTTCAAATATATTCCATATACAGTGAAATAATTAGCAAAAAACCGAAAAAAAAAAACGAAAAAAATCAACTTTAACGCCCTGTATCTCTTTTCACATCAATATTCTATTGAGGCATGTTTGGTAAAATCGCCATATTTTGGTCCAATCCAAACAATCCGCCCTTAGCCTATGTCCCAATAGTTATGACTCACCCTGTATATGTATAGTTCTAAAGTAAAAATATGCTTAGCTCGATTAATAGTGTTGAACTGGCTTAAAAGGCCTTTCCCTATCCTCCCTAGGTACGCACGATGTTCCACGAATATAATAGGAATTTCCTTTCGTGTGCTCCAAGAGATAAAACAAAGTTATTGTTGAACGTTCAGAAATAAATGATTTCGTGGATGTTTGCTCGATTGAGGACCATAAAGTAGAAATATAAATATCCCATATATTTTACATAACAATGCGCGGAGTAGGTATACTTCGCGCACTGTTTTACTTCGCGCATTTTTTTGTGCAAGGTATCATGGTAACGTAGGAAACTGAAAAAAAGTGTCACTAACCTTGTCATTTTTTGTAGAAAAGGGTTATTAATAAACAATATTTTATAATGATGCTACCAAATATCACACAAGACAGATTGGTTACATGGATAATTTAGTTATTCCTGAAAATATCCTTATTTTCAACGATACTAAAATCGTGCGATTAACTTTTCCGCACGATATTTTCATGCACTGAAAAATGATGAAATAGTTTCTTTTTCATCCATATAATAGGAAACTTTCATGATTCTAGAATGAATTGAACCTTGCCCTATCTTTTATATTATTCATTAATATTTGTCGAATCGTGATTATTGAAGACTTTTATTATTATTATTATACCAGGTGACACAGGAGACATGTAGCAGCCTGTAGTTTTTTTATTTGAAGAGATAAAATTTTGAAATTCACAGGGGGTATATAATAAATGGTAGCGCACTTTACGAACTAAACGACAATTTTTTTCAACCACCTGTTTGACCGGAAGTGACCCCAACTTTTTTTTTTTTTAATGTCACCCTGTACATTTCTCCAGTCTATCTGCTTCGCCTTGAAATTCCCTATCCAACCATGTATCACGAAGTGGCATTTATTTCTTAATTCGCTGTTGAATTGCTTTTTATTCAAAAAGAATAAGCTGTGACATGAATTCGATGATATATCGACACTTGGTAGGCTTTGAAATTTAAATATCATTAGTAAACCGATATTATTCAAAATGTTTTTATATTCTGAGCAATGTCTGCAGGATGCCAATAGCTTGTTTGAGTCAAGATGAAAACCTTCGAAAATAACTCATGATATTGAGAAATCTAAGATAGGAACATATTTTTTCTAATTCAGCTATTCGTACAGAAACGATCTGTCTTTCATTCTCGCCATGTACCTATCACATGATCTTCCCATTTGGAATAATAAAACTAAAATT